TTCGCATTTAAAAAAGAGATTGTACGCGGCGGCTAAACGCGTGCAAACTTCTGCGTCGTGGCAAAGGTATTGAAACTTGTTGAATAGCTACTGCTCCGCGATACGCGCCGCCCGCGGTAAGTATTTGTCTCACGATCTACCGTCACTGCTCACCAATAACACAAAGAAGTTTTGGAAACAAGTGTGCCCAGAACGTCACGATAACAAAATCACGTTGCAAAATGAGCACCACGTTCCCATTCCAGATCAAGACTGTCCTAAGGCTTTCAATACTTTCTTTACATCAGTTCACACCACTGATGATGATACAAATGTCCCCGATGTAGCCGATCTTGACTATCCCTTTTTGCAGCCCATTGAAATGACTGTTGACGGAATCGCATCTATAATGAACAATCTTAAACTTTCAACGTCAGCGGGTGTTGGCGGGATTAACACCAAGATACTAAAAAATATGGTCTAACCCTCGAGTAAAATACTATGTCACATCTTTCAGCAATCACTATCAACAGGACAGCTTTCATATGACTGGAAAATTGCAAAGGTCATCCCCGTGTTTAAAAGCGGCAATAAAAACTCGCCTCAATATCACAGACCCATTCCTCTAAGATCTACCTGCTGTAAGATGCTTGAGCATATACTCGGCTTTCATATTTTCAATAACTTAAAGCAGAATGACCATTTCTTCCCAAACCAACATGAATTTAGAAAGGCCCTATCATGCGAAACACAGCTTTTCGAATTCACGACTGACCTACATCATTACTTAAATCTAAACTTGCAAATGGACTGTCTTTTTCTGTATTTTTCCAAAGCTTTCGATCGTGTTGCTCAGTGCCGCTTTGTCTATAGATTCATCAACTCTGTCATGAATACGGAACTCTCTCACTAACCGGCAGCAATTCACCATTGTTAATGATTTTTCATCCCCACTTTCATACGTTTGTTTTGGTGTGCCGTAAGGAAGTGTTCTCGGTCCACTGCATTTTGTATTTATATTAATGACTTACCAAGTAATTTATCCTTACAGGTGCGCATTTTCGTTGACGAGTGTATAATTTACCAAGCAATAAGTAGTACTTGTTATCACGTAATAATTCAAAGTGACCTCGACCTCATCAGTGATTGGTGTAATAGTTGGCTAATGTCCCTTAATTCAAGTAAATGTAAAGCAATGTCCTTCTCTCGCAAACATTCTAACTCTGAGTTTTCTTACTTTATTAATGGCAATTCTGTACCTACTGTTGACTCTTTTAAATATTTAGGTGTAACCTTCACATCTAACCTTTCTTGGACTACCCACATCACCATCTGCAGTGACGCCTCACGATCATTAGGCTACATACGCCGCAATCTACGTAAGACGCCCTCAAATATACGTGCTTTAGCTTACGTAACATTTGATCGCCTTCAGCTGGAATTCGCTAGTGCAGTTTGGTTCCCTCATTACAGCTATTTAACTAACATGCTGGAATCAATCCAGAACAGAGCCGATAGATTCTTCTCACAAAACTACGATCATAGCGCAAGCATAACACAAATTAAAAAAAGCTTATACCTTTCCCTATTGAGCAGCTGACGTGATCTAAACCTCCTTTCATTATTCCATAAATACGTACATGAAACAAGGCTATTATCAATCACATTGCAAACATCTGCGTTCACACCAAAGAGACTAAATAATCATCTTTCATTCACACGCATATACGGTAAAACATACATTTTTAACTCCTCTGCACTCCCCCATGTTATCCGCATGTGGAACAGCCTTCCTGATGAAATCGTAGCAGAACGCAATCGGAAAAAATTCCGGCACCTTCTACTCACCCATTTCAAGGATTAACTGCTCGTTTTATTCATATAAAAATCGGCACCTGCGAGTTTATTCACTACTAGTACCTCGCTTTTTTTTCTCTTACTTTAAACTTTTTTTGATGGTTTGAATACTAACATGCCATTCAGTTCTGATGTGTATTTTTGAGCGATGTTTTCTTTTGAGTAATGGAAAGACTTTTCACAATTTGTGCTTGTTTTTTAGGCTTGTTTTAGGTCATTATCTCACAGGTATACTCATTTAATTGTCATTGGCGTTCTATTCCAAATAGAATTATTAATAATATTTTCTCATTGTTAATCTTGTTAGGACTTGTGTATTAATTGACAATTAGTTTATGTTATTGTTTGTACGGGAATTATACCAATTCGTGTATCTATTCCTTTTATGCTCTCCTTACACAATGCCCTGTTGTGTCTGTAAGGTATTTTGAATAAATAAATAGACATCTTCCGTTCAGCATGAAGCGAACAGAAAGGCACACTCTAAATTGTGAGAACACTTTAATTTACGCTGTCTGAAAGATATCGAATCAGAACATGAACAATGCCACCATATTTGAGATGAATTTGTTGTGCAACTGTAACAAACGCCGTTACGTGCGTTTGCTCTGCTATTTATACATGTGATTCCTTGCTGTGAATTCAAACTCATATGGTGGGTAAGCTGCCCCACGCAATGATTCATTGTTTACATAAGCATAGAATAAGCAACGTCTTGGGCACGCGCGATAACGTAGCGACGAGTGAAACACGGCTAAAACGGGATGCAAAGTGAGTGCATCTGACCCACTGGTCGAGCATACTGAAAATGAAAATTCACTAGTGAAACCGAAAGGTGCTACATCTGTTGTTAACTGCAGCACGTATATCATGTTGAGCGTTTGGTGGCGCTGATCTCAGTTCAAGCGAGCCGAGGCCACGCATCGGAACATTCCACTTAAAGCTGCTGACGGCTGCACATGCCTGATGGGGAAAATGCTGAAAGACATTGCTACTTTGCTTTTGTCATTAATTGGATACAGAAATAAGTTGGTATTGTAGAAACTTATGTGGCATCTACCTGTTGCATGTTCTTTAATGTCTGTGGTGGTCTGTGGAAGGAAAACCTCAACAGTGATCCATGATTGTACTGACGTTCCAGCCGTTGCTGTTTCATGATGTGTGAGCCTTCTCTCAGTCACGGTTCGTATGAATATTAGTCCTACATTTAAAAATGAGTTCCCCAGTTGGTTAGGCTGCATAAGAAGCACATAAAATTCTTTGCAAATGTATATTTACTGCTAGTGCTTGCTTAGTGAGCTGATAATCAACTGCGGTAGTTCAGCGATAGGCATTTATTAACGAACATAAATAAATTTGTGTTCTTTATTTTTTAGAGCTGTGCGAATAGGAAAATTTTGTGTGGGAAACGAATCGCAATATTGATGTGTGAGTGTGAATCAACTATTTTTGAACATTTGATGAGTATTTTTTAAATACTTCGAAGTGGAGAAAAGTTGTAAAAGAATCTTAAGCATATTATTATGGGATATAAATAAGGCATTGCTTTTTTGACTAGGTTGAAGATCTGGAGGGAAGGTGAAGATCTTTTGAAGATCTGGAGGGAAGCTGCTCCCTTGTTCTGTCAAAGATGAGGCATGGCTGACCAAATTGTATACATTTATCATATTTGGTGCAACCAATGTGGTGTCGACGGCAGTTTGCATGTGAAAGGTTTCTCTTTCCCCTCTTCCTCCTCAACTTCTGTGGAGACATTTCTGATTTGGTGGGCAATGGCGTGCTCCTTTCGAATTTGGAGTTGCTCATATGTCGTGCAGATGTCTGTGTATTAAAACACCTGAAATTTCAGATAGGAAGAATGGTTCACCCAATTTTTTTCGGACTTTTTGGTCTGAAACTTTAAATAAAGCTTCCACCCCTGCCATGTAGGTTTGAACCAGCGCATTTGTGAGTCAATCTGATTATGGCCGTAGCGTAGCCCATGAAGCGGTGAAGCATATTATTGAAAAGGAAGGAGTGACTGTAACGGCAGAGTGCATCTTTATGTCGGAACCAGCATTTTCTCGTATCAAAGCATTGGGTACCTTAGCCTGAAAGGCAGCTTTGCCGCAAAGTGAGCATGTAGCGAGACAAAGCAATTGTAAAAAAAAATTGAAGGGAGCATAGTGAATTGAGCCCTAACAGTTGTCTTTGGGAAGTTTGAATAGTAAAACTTTCAGTGGAAAATAATCAACTTGCAAATGCTATTCGAAAAATGTTTGAAAGTTCGAGTATGTTTGTAGTTCGAGTTCGAGTATGTTTGCAGTTCGAGTTCGAGTAGAAAGTTCTAGACTTTTATATTCATTTTGCTTCGGCTCAGACAATATCAAACTTTTCCTAAAACATACGTCACGACGCGAATACAAAAAAAGTGACTCGCGCACTAGTAACCAAGACAGGTGGTTAGTACCGTTCAGACGCACAAATTATCTTATGCAGTCACTACGACATAGCCTACCTTCGTTGTTAAATAAAGTGCAAGGAGAAACATTTAATCCGAATACTTTGACTCGCAAACAAATTATACAATACTTTTGTAAATCGGAATGAACATATAAAAGGCATCGTTATTAAATTTTCGCATTTTCTGTTATATTACCTACTTCGCGCTCAGTGTTTCAATATACAAAGTATCATCATATTGTGCATCATAGTAATATTTATAGCGGTGCTTTTCTTAGTGTTGTAAATACTATTGTTTCTTACGTATCACAATGTACTGTCACATCTCTTCTCACATATGTATTACATTTCTATGTTATTTTTAAGTAGAATGTGTTCATGGGAAATCACTAGTGTTATTCAGCATGTTGCATGTTCCTAGTTTCAATTAAAATGGTGTATTAGATTTGGATATATGCTAAACATCTGTATTTATGTTAGTTTTAGTGTTGCTGCTGCCATGTGAGGGCCTTCAGGCACATTCAAGTTGTACTATGCAGTTTTTCAGCCTGAAGGACCCCCAACAATTTCGTTGGAAAATAAAAGCATTTTTGATTCTGATTTGCACACTGTTAATTTTTTTTTCTAAACGTGAGAGCACAAATTTGCTACAAACATATTTAACTTATTTATCCAATCGGGCAATGTTGTAATGAATCGTTGGTCTTTTCCATGTAATGCAGTGCTGCCTGAAGCCTTGTGGAAAAGGAAGCAACGCAGGCCAACTGGAAGATCAAGCTGAGACGGAAAAGGAAAAAAATAAACAGAGAAGTCATTTTCTATTCTACACTACTGTGCAAGCCTGCTGTTTTTGCCCACGAGCACGTAAAAGTGCATGTTTTCTTCCACAATGCATTTAATTACGTAAAAAAAGGAATACACGAGAACCGTCATGCAAAGACACACCAGCCCGGTTCTTACCGAACCACACCAGTCCGGGTTTTCCAAAAAGACACCAGTCTGTGTCACACCAGAAAACGGCCGTATACGAAAGAAAACGGCCGTATACGCCAGAAACCGTGTCTGAATTCCCACTCTGGTGTGAACGGGAAAAACGCACCAGACACGGCCTGGTGGATTTTTCGACTGCGAGATCTGCGAGTTTTAGGAAAACTCGCAGCGTACAGCAAGACAGCGGGCTTTTGGCCCATGGTGGGATTTTCATCACTAACTTTCGCAGGTATTGGCACAAGCGGCGACTCTGCAGGCTGATCTGCTGGCCTGGCTGAGATCTTCAAGCAGTCCGGAGCAGATCGTGCAGCTGAATAAGTTTCTACAGCCAATTGGATGGCACATGGGGCAGTTGCAGGCGTCAAATCTGCGATGGAGAGAGGTAACAATGACTCTAGTGTCAGAACGGGAACATCGAAGACAGGAGCCGTGTATTTCGGGTTTGACGATCTCTCCGTCGACAGGTCGATGGGCGCGGGAGGGTGGCTTCCATCGCCTGTGCGGACCGTTGTAGGCAGGGGAATGGTCTCGCCTGACTGTGGTGTGGGAGGTGTCCTGGAAGGCGGAAAGCCAGGTACCGCGGTGTCGCTTTTGGGAAAATGACCACGTTTGATGCCGTAAAACTTGAGCGTGGCGTCTCGGAGTTCTTCGTACAGGCGAGGGCTTCCGTAGAAGTATGTGAGGCAGCGTTTGATGTCATGTGGACGATGATATTCTTATACTTGATGCATGAACTTTAGGATTTAGATACCATTGCAATCCAAGGCTGCCGTAGACTCCTCGAACCAGGACTCTAGGCGAGAGGTTCGAAATTGTGGTCCTGGCGGGTCGAATTGGGGCTACCAGGCTTGCGCTGACTGGAACATGGCCGTGAAGCTCGGCAGCAGTTGTGCAGCGTCGGTCGCTTGTCTGCGTGTCCGGGGTCATGAATTTGTAGCAACGCGACGGCGTCCGGCGTAGACGTGCCATCGTTACCGGTTTAATGGAAGGACAAGAGGCGAGACGTACATGAAGCAAGCTGACGAAGACGAGCAGCGGCCGTGGCATCCAGCCAGCCTCAAGCGCACGAGTATTCTAGGCGCCACACGCCACGAGCCACCAACGTTCGTCATATTTTTTCTAGCTGGCTGGTCGCCGCTAGCGCTACGCTACAGTGTCTTTAGCATAAGTAACAAAAAATGTTTCTTTCTGATGCTGGGATTTGAATTCGTACCCCCGTGATCCAAAAGCGAGTGTCCTTACCACTAGACAACATACGAATGCTTGTAAAAAGGGAATACAGGTATAGTGCATATAATGTACATGAATGAGCACCCTTTGTGCAAATAAAATACAGAAAGACAACACTTTCTAGTCAGAATTTCTTGATTTTTGTGATAATTCAATAATTGTCCTCAGCGGGACACAAAATGACACGGGTATAAAAAAATTCACCTAACAAATAAATCTTTTTTTCTTTGCAAAAAATTCGATGCCAAACTTGGCTTTTGGTTATTTTCTTGAAGCGGCTATTACATGTCTTGCCAAAGGAGTAAACGCGAGCGTAGGTGCGCCATCTAGCGTTTGGTCAAACTTTTTTTCTGGGCCGCGAAAAGGCTCGAGCGGCAACTCTTTATATGCTATATTTCTCTATGTCATGTGCACCATCTAGCCGTTGGCCAAACCTTTTTTTCTGGACCGAGAGAAGGCTCGAGTGGCAACTCTTTCTGTTATATTTCTCTATGTCATGAGTAGAGGCCGGATTTTAGGCGCTAAAAAGTGTGTTTTAGGCACCAAGGACAGGCAGGTAAAAAACAATTTTGGCCCTCAAAAGTATAATTATAGGCGCAATATATTTTCACAAAAATTGAAATATCCCAAAACAACGACGTCAGTGTCTTGTATATACGACATCAAGCAAAAAGCATAGTGTTTGAGATAACAGAAAGGCACCAACAATTGAACATAGGCATGCAATTCCCGCACGATTCGCACTATGTGGTCTTTCGTTTGATTGTCTAGCACTGCTGGTCAAGTGTCCATCATTCAATAAACACTCTCCAAGGTCTTTTTTACTTCGTTGTGGCTAGGAAGGGCAGTGCAAGAGCAAATAACCAGACCACTGATACCCCAGAAGAGAGCGATGCTAGGTCTAATCACGTAGAACCAATTTCTCCTCTATCAGTGAACACCTTAAAGGGCCCCTATATAGCTTTGGGCATTTCGGATCATTCCTTTGATGATTTGCAAAATTACATCACAAGACAGACTCCAGCAACTTCCCTTCATTGGGCTTCGGGGTAATACTTGTATATTATTAACCAACGATTCTAGATATTTTACAGGCAACAAACTGATTGATTGAAACATGTCGCGTAAAAATGCTCGATTCCGAATGAATGCCACTTGCCCTTCTCGCGGGCGTGCGCCCCAAGATCTAGGGACTGACATAGAGCAAGGAAGATATCTCTTGCATTCGTGTAGTCGTGGTTCCTGCATAGTGCCATCACCAACCCTGGCAACGCTTAGCTTGTGTTTGGTGCGTCGTCTCTGACCGCAGTGTCAGTGGAATGACGTGGTGTACCGCGGTCACAATACATGATCCTTGCCAGCATTTCTTAAAGTACACGCACTGAGTGATCCATCTCACAGAAAATGCTAATACACAACAGAGAACGTCGAAACGACACAACATCGATGGCTTACGTGCGAAAGTAGACTGGGGCACGTGATGCGCGCGTGACCTTGCTTATGCATGTTGTTCTTTGTGTGTATGCTGATTTTCCAGCCCCGATACCGAAGAGAACAGTGAAGGAATGAGGCTCGTGATGGCTACATGGGACGAGAGGCAAGGGATTAAAGCTTGATTCTTCGCATTATGTTTTGGTGTCTTGTAGTAAAAAAATATATAAAAATAAGTAAATAATATCAATTGGCCAAATCACCATGGTAGAACGCTTTTCATTGGGCACGCAAGAACTTCTAGTGTCTAACTAAAACTTATTATGTCACCTAGAGAGGAACGCTTAAAAAGTAAACTACAAAGAAAACAAAAGCTGCATGCACATGACGTTTTTTACCCCAAGGCGCTCCAACTGATGGGTTGCAATGTCAAAGAAAACGCGCCTCCATTGACACAACACACTTTGTTCTCTTCATAAGCCACTTCATTCAGTCACGAAACTAACAAAAACAAATTTATAGAAAAATTATATATGATACGACATTGTAAAATCTTAATTACCATTGGGTGAAGAGGACTGTTTAGGTACATTCATTTTCGAATGTGAGTTTTACCTAGAAATGCTTGACATAGCAGCTTTAACCACAGTTTCATTCGACCCGAATAAAGTAATTCCCAACCTAGTGTATTTTTCATTTTGTTACAGCTGTCAGTTTTGAATAATGGCTTAGATCAAACCTTGAAGCCCTGTTCTTTATTTGTTCATGTTTGTCACCTAAAGACATATGACCAGAGATCCCATATGGAACAAGCGTTTTCAAGCATACGGTTAATGTATGCTCAATACACCGTTGATTGTAAATATGCCGGCACCTGTCTCAGGCTTCGCGGTATAAAGTATAACAATTTGGCGACCTTCGTCACCACTCAATCAATCAAAGCATTCCGTGAGTTGCCCTCCATGGTTTTACATTCGTTCTCCTGCTGCACGTGGCTGCCATGAAAAACCGGATGTTCCTTTCCCACCACAACACCCGTGTTTTCAGGGCGGTTCTTCAGTTCCTTCAGGGCACTGGACAGCTGTCTGTAGAAGGCGGTTCCCACGTCCTCGGCCATAGACGTCACTTTTATTTTCTTACCCCATCTTTAATTCTCTCTCCTCCTTCCACTGCAGACGCTGAGACTTGCTTCTATTTAGGGATGCAGAAGTAGCGTCTTTTGCAGTCCTCATGCTCCTCCTCCAATCACTCGCAGCATGTCAGCTTTGTATTCGTTGAACCTTATAGTGTTGGAAAATATCATTGTTGCATTTTGTGCGTAAATAATGCCTTCACACCACACTCTAAAGCAAAATTGGGGCTTGAATAGCGCTCATATAGCTTCTCATTTTGAAAACAGCCAGTTATAAGCACTTATAGGCATTTAGGCATGAACACCCCAAATCGGCATTCATAGGCCCTATAAAGATACCATAAGAGCCCTGCTTAACCTCTAATTCATGATCATATATCAAAATGGCACGATAGGAACGCAAGGAACAAAATAGCCATTTGCCTATAGTCCGGTCTCTATTATGTTTCCTAATGTGCCACCGACAACGGCTACTGTCGGGAGGTGGGGGGCTCCTCCCTTTTTATTTTTTTCAGTGAAGCAGCTGGCGCCCCCTTGCTCCCCTCTCTCCAAGCCAGCGTTTGGTCAAACTCTTTTTAGCTGGGCCACGAAAAGGCTCGAGTGAGCACTCTTGATATGCTATATTTCTCTATGTCATGACTATGTTTGCTAGTCCGCGGCCGATAACCACTACTATCGGGAGCGGGGAGAGGGGTTCCACCCTTTTATTTTTCTCAGTGGAGCTGCCAGCGCCCCCTTGCCTCCCCTCATGCCAACGACCATGTTGATATAAAACAGTAGAACATGTGCAGCAGTTTCTTTTGTTATGAGGCTGGGTGTTGCCGTGGTTGCTTTGTTTGTTGGTTTTCTGGCATGTGATATCTACGACTGAAAGCCGGTTGAAGTTCAGCGCCTGCGCTGCGTGGTTCTTCTCCTCTCCTTCGTCGACGTTCCTTGCACTGCGCCCACAAGAGATGCTTGCACACTGATTCGCAGTAGGAACAAAAAACCTGAGGGGTGATTCGTGTACGGAATTATTGAATTTATTGGCTGGTAAGGCACAC